GGAATCACATCTCAAATAACAAAAAGAATCTCCACATATTTAAATATTGCCATGTCTTTAAAAGAATTTAATTGTAGAATTTCAAGTGTATATATTAACACTTTAAAAACTCAAAAGCAATTTTCATTTCAAGTATAATCTGAAATGAAATTGGAAATATTCTTAGGGGATACACAGAATGAACATTCTTTATTCAACAAGCAATATTCCACTTCCACACTTACCTCATCAAGATAGTTGCAAAGTCTCGACAGAGACCTTTCCAGGTATGTTAACAGTCTATTTCACAGGGGGAAAAAAGTGAGAAAGGGCTCCTAAAGGGCTAAAGCTGGCATAGCACAGGAATTTCAAAAGTGGGATCCCAGACTCAGATGCATTTCTAGAAATTCCATAAGAAACTGTACATAAGTGGTTCTTTGGTGACATGGAGCAGTGGGCTGGCAGACGCAACACTGCTCCTACATGCGTCCTTGAAAAATACAGCTACAGTGAAGGCCACACATAATTAATTGTACAAGGTGGGGAAAGCAATCTATTTATGTTGTCCTACTTAAATTGCCCCACACCCCTCAAGTGAGAAGACAACTTCACACATATTCTGTCACTGGAAGTGCTTGATATTTTCCAGTAAGAGAGTGTTCAGTTTACTTATCTTCAAATTTGAGCTTAGAGACTTTATAGGAAGACACTCATCTAAACAGCTGGATGTTGACTGAAGCCTTAATATCTGAAACAAAGAGCAAAGTAACGTCAAGATAAGCTACGCAACAGTCATGCTAATACTAAATCAACCCCTCCAGCCTTAATAATTGGTAAATAATTGAATGCTAGCAAGAGATTCTGAAATAAATGTTCACAATTAAAGACATATTTGGTATTATCTGAGAAAGCTTACTAGAGAAGTGACCGGTTATCTAGCAATGATCCATCTTCGACAAAGAAAAATAGTGACAACTGAATGGATAAAAACGTTCTGATAACTGACTACAGAGCATCTTGTAAAATACAAATGGTGTTCTATCACTTTGTAATTATAAGCTACATTAAAGAACAAATCCTAAGTAATGCTATGGACAATGACTTATTTTTTCCCTCTGCATGCAATTTGAATCAAATATGTTCAGAAAAAGATCTGGCAGTTATAACACAAAACAGTGGTAGTAGTAAACTTTAGTAAAGTCAGATGTTGGCAGTTCTGATATTTGCAGATAACCTATCTAATAAAAAACTAATATTATAAAATTTATTTCACAGAAATAGGTTTCAAACAAAGAGACATGACTGAGAGACAGCATAATTGCAATATTGCTTCTGGAACCCTAAATGGGTTCAAAAATGTACAGCTTCAAGCCAGTAGTAGGGCTTTGGATAGCACTGATAGCATCTGCAAACCAAACAAACCCATCTGTTTGTTGAGGATAGAAAACTAACTGGCCAACACAAACTGTAGGGAATTCCATAAGGCTACACTGTCAGCTGACCTAAGGTCATTCATTTCAAATAGCAGGTCTCAAATTTCTAATAGCCAACTGCAAAAAATATTTATACTGATAAAACAACTCAATATATTTAAATAAGAAAGAAAAAGATGGAAAAATCAGGAGAGTTGACCCTACTTGGTTGTACAGTAAGTGCATCATAGAGCTTCCACATTGCTTACAGCAGTGGTGAAGTTTTCCCTCTGAGCAGTTTCATTTAATTAACTCCAAGACTCTGCCAAGAGTCTGTGAACAATAATGCCAGTTTTTGGCTCACTCCCAAACCATGCAGAGTAGTGACATGGCAGGTAGCCATCTGCTGTGGTCATTGTGGAAGTAGCAAATGCCAAGATAAGCTCTGAAGCATCCATAATACAGATGGACATAAGCCATTCCAGATCAATAGAAGTATTCATCATATTACTTAAGCTAGGCATCGCTCAAGTTCAATTGCTAAAAACTGCATCTTTCTCGGGTTTTGACCAAAATATAAAAGTGTGTTCTTCTACTACCACACAGACAAACCAATGACAAGGGAGGTCTCCCTGAGCTTACAACTAAAGAACAATTTGGAGCAGGAATATACAAGGTTGAGTTAGACACGACCTCTTATTGGAAGAATATGGGTTTGAATGCCTTCCACCACCATGTTGATGTGAGTATTCATTTTCTCCTGTACTTCAGTTGCAAAGAATAAAGCTACTTAATATGTCTATGCTTTAGTTACTAAGTACACACATTGATTATAAAGTATTTTCATGTCGACACTTCAAATCCACAGTCTCAAAGCTTTGTAACAACGTACTCATGACAGAGCCTAGTTACTCAAATAAGCTCTTAGATGCGTTACTTACGAGAGGATTTCCATCGTTCTACCTCTGCTTATGCCTGAGATTCTTTTTGTGACTACTCCAAACACTTGAGAGAGAACAGGTAGAGTACTCTGTTAAGGCTCCTGGGAAAAGAATTTGTCTGCCTTTTGGACCCAGTATTTCTATGGCTACAGAAAAAGTTTCTAATTTGGATTTTTAAAGATAATGGAAGTATATACTGTGTTCTGGATGCTTGGATCCTCAGTTTACAACAGAAAGAAAAAGTATAACATGTCTTTTTGATTTGCGTGGGACAAATAAATTGGTTAGAGAAGGTGGTCCAAACTAGGTACCAAGGGAGGTCTGCTGCAGGATTTGGGACTCCTTGGGGACTGTCCCCTTCCCCTCCACAGCACCAGGGCTTTCCTATGACCTTTCAAGAGTAGCAGTTCTAAATTAGTTGTTTGATGGACTGTGACAGATCTGCTCAGCCATTCCTCATCTCCTTGGAGAAAAGCTGAAAAACATCTGGGTTTGGTTTCTGCCTCCCTGAAACAGATGAAAGATGAAATTCTTATACTTGACAATAATGAAGGTTAATGCTGGATAGCCTTGCCTACTGTGATAACTGAACTAAAAGAGGGAAGATAAAAGATTTACAGCATGCAAATAAACTGATTATATATCAAGATGATGTTTAAGTCTACATTTGAGACTAGAAATTAATTTAATCTAGATTACAAGAGCCTTCTTTCTTAAAAATAAACCTCAGTAGGGATCATGTTTTGCTCAGCTCACTTGTTTTTTCATATGCATCTTTTCTATTAATGTTGAAGGGAGCACAAGTTGATACACAGACTGTATCAAACTGTGTCTATTTTAAAAATTGACACCTCTCATCTCACAACACAAAATAATGTACTATGTAGAGTGAGAAATCAAAGAACAGGACATGTGCTGATCGGGGAGATGTTAATGGGGCTGTGGTAAATCATTCATATGTAAGGTTATTCTCATACTGTGGCCAAAGAACTAATGCAGTCCTTCTCTAACTAGTACATTTGGAAGTAGAACTAAAGAAACTCATTGTTTCATACTTTGGCCTAACAATAATTACTGTCACAGTGTTTATTTCTGTTCCTCGAAGTTCAGACTTCATAAGAGCAACACAAATATTCAAACACTTGAAAGAATGGGCATTCCATTTTGGTTTTTTTTTTAAATAAAGACAATTTGGATAATAAATATATTTTACATTTTAAATAATGTGATATTCGCACTTTTAATAAAGAATATTTAACCAGTGGAAAAACTGTATGTTACAAGAGTCACAGTTCAGAGTGAGAATATTTCTGAAGTGTTGTGTGAAGTTACATAAAATGGTCACAATGGTTCCATTTAGGCTTGTATCTAGAGATCACTTCTCATTTGTCTTATATTTGCTTTTTCTTTTTCCAGGTGGTGTTCACAGCTAATGATGCTGGTTATCGACATTACTCCGTTGTTTTTGTCCTTAGTCCCTTTTCTTCCTCAACTACAGCAGTAGTTAGTGAGCCAGTGGAATAGAAGCTGATATTAAGCATGAAAATTCATACGTGAGAATTAAAACTTCCATAAATGATAAGAACTTAGTATCTGATTGTATCAACAGCTATAAGATTTCACAGTAAATCACTGTATTTCTGTATTCTGTCAGTACAACTTCAGAACAAAAGTTTAGGGTTTGAAAAACAAAATAAGCTCAGGAAAAAATGTATTCAAATTCCATTACTGAAACTCTGAGAATAAACCAAAGACTTGCATGAAGTTAATAAACTACATTTCTTTTTGCAAAGGAGGTGAATAAAACACATCTGAAAGGTGTCTCATGAAAAGTAAGCAAATACAATCCACAACTACCATCTCCTATACTTTGTCACTGAAGCCCACAACAGATGAAGTCACATGGGATTACTTACTCAGGGCCCCACATAATTATCAGATAAAGTCACCTCTCAATTCTGATTTTTGAGATATAGAAGTAAAAGCAGCTTAAAAGTAACAGCAAGGTGGAACAGCGTTTAAGGATTCTAACTACGCTACACATACTTAAAAGGCCTTCTTTCCTGTTTTACAATATATCATACCTGGTGACACTTCCAAGGAGAGTCCATAGCCAGTGTTTCAGAAAAGCATACCTGAAGAAGTTTATTCATTTACTTTCAGAAAATTCTGAAAAATAATTTGTCTCCAGCTGAAGTACCCCCCAAAATTACTTGCATATCTCTAACCACCTGACACTTTAATAGCTGTAAGGTACAAATAAAAATAAGGATAACTGATGATTCCTGAGAAAACCAATTTCCTATTTAATGTCAGGAGAAATATGGATGAATCCTTCTATTCCCATTCTAGTAATCCATATATAAGGAAGAAAGATTACGATATTCAACAGAATAGCGAGTCTTGGGAAAGTATGCAAAAATATTGAGTCATTTAGCCTAACAAAATCAAAAGCTGAAAGCATATAAATACCAAAAAAAGGGAAAACACTTGGCTAGTCTAGCGCTTCATCCTGTCCCAGCCCAACCTGATATATTAGACAGGTGTAATCCTTCCTTTTTCTGTTACTTTGGGGTTCTGAGCACTAGAAAAATGAGCACTTTGTCTAGAAACAAAACACAAAGATGATATGTTTTCCACAGAACCTCAGAATAAACAAACCAACACAATCTTTAGAACATTATATTTCATAAAAGACAATGATAAAAAAGTACAAACATTTTCATGAACAACAAAAATAATAAAAAAAAAAGCTATGATAGTACACAGGAAATTCCCAGTATTTGTTTCAGTGCATTTCTCATTAAGCCTATCTCATATACCTCTACAAATAAAATAATCTTAGGTACACTTCCTCTTGCTGATATGCAATGGATCCTTTCAGTTTTTTTAATGAACTGGCTCATTAGTGACCCACCACAACACAGTCATTAGTAAACGTAACAATAGAAAAATAGACTGTCAAGATCCAAAAAGGGGCATTTTGCACTTGCCTTTCAATATACTGTCTATTGCAAAATGGACTTTATGTTTTATATGCTCCGACTTAAATTTAATATATAGAAAATGGGCTTAAGAGTATCTTAGCATATCAACCAGATTCCAATCTTAATACTTCTGTAACGGTTTTACTTGTTAGTTTGCAAGACCTTTAGAATCTTGTAAAAGACACCCTTTTTCCTCTCCCTCCATGTTCCCTCCTTGAAAAGATGTCCTTAATTTGCACTGTCAGCAATGCAAAAGCCAATGTGATTGGCTTCTTTCTACATTTTACAAGAATCATGAAAATATCAAAAGGAATGTGCACAACTCTTAGTTCTGCATCATATTTATTTTGTTTGAAGGCACTGTCTATGTTAAAATTCACTACAGAATAGTACTGAGTTCAAGCAGGTAGTATACAAACACTATTGTGATGTAATTTAAGATGGCAACTTTTAAAACTTCCCAACAAAATGATAAAAGGTACTTAGGGAATAGTGTTGGTCAGCAATTCATAATTTAACATCCATCACTTTGGGCACCAAAATGTAAACGTTTTAAGAACTCAGGTATATGTCACAATTCATTCACGTACTGGTTTAAATCACATTTTTCTAGGACCATACATGATCAATCACTTAAAGCTGTAAAGTTATATTAGTTCAGCCACAGCAAATGTGTAATATAGTATGTATATATGTAAGTATATATACATATATATGAATTAGATTTTTTTTAAAATTGCACATAAATTTCACAGAATGCCTAACAAATGGGCACAAAAGCATGCTTCAGAAAACAGTACAGACCTATGGTACCAAAGGATGCTTCATAATCATAGGTGTGAAACTGAAGGTGAAATTGTACTGAAAACCAGAAATCACATCAAAATTACATCAAGGATTTAAAAATTTATTCAACTGTTCTTAAAGAATAGTATTAGTCTGCTATGAAATGACTAATTTTATTTTGAAGATATAATTGTTCATACACTGTATTATCTCCCCTTCAAAATGTTCTATATAATCAGTTATAGAAAAATCTATTGGGAGGTGATTGAACCACTTCAGCATGCTTTTGAAGGATGTTTTCTTCACTTTATGCTTTTAGATATTTTCACTGTATTACCTCATTCCTAAAGCATATTAGATTAACTGGCAGATTTTAAGGTAATTCCAATATGGTATAAAATATCCCTTACGATTGTTCTCAACTACTTAAATTAAATAATTGTATTTCTACTAAATATTCGGGACGTCTACAACTAAGCTCATAACTTCACTGAAGAATGGCTAAGGGCAGAATTTGCTGCTGTGATGCCAAAGTAATAAAAGATGTTTAAGGCAAACTTAAAATATACAAAGCACCACACCATCTGTGGCAGCAATTCAGGAAACCAACACATAGTAATGACTTAAAGTTAGTATTCTTTGTCAACACTCTTGAAGAACACTCTATGGATAAACAATCCTTATTATATATACTGCTTCCCATTCTCCATGGGAGCAGAAGTCAGTCTTTGGTTCCTAAGGAGTTGAGTAACCTTGACAAACAAAACACTTTAGTAGATCTTGGTCAATATCTTTGCATTAACATAGAAAATAAATCACCTGGCCCTTTCCCTTAGTATCAATAAGGGATGTAAAAAAATATTAGGAAAAGATAATAATGCTTAGCAGTGGAATACTTTTCGGTAGCATAACAATACAAGCAAAGAGAAAATAAGAAGATACATTTTTCATTTTAAGTTGAGGAGAGAGGCTCATAGTTACTCATACATATAACACCACAAAAATAGAGAAACAGACAGGACCAATCCTTAGCAGGACTGCACAACCTCAATCTCACTGACAGTCATCGACTCGAGGATACTTAGTGCATCACAGAAGCACGAAGCACCCTGCCAGAATAGGCCCTCAAATAGCTATATTGAATAATGTACTATGAGTGGAATTTTAAAAAGCACTTGGGATTGGCCTGCTTTCAGTTCCGCTTTCGGCATCATCGTCCCCATCAGCAGAACAGTGTGACCAACACCGTGGTTCTGAAAATCCCACACTGCAAGCATTAGAACTATTAGAACTATGTTTTATTATTCTCTTAAAAATCTAACTTTGATATTCTTCCAATGAAGACACATTTTTGGCTCTTCTGATTTTGGAGGAATAAAAGTGCTGTTTACTAGGATTCTTTTTTTTTTTTGAAAAAGAACAATACCAAAATACTGTACGCATTCAGACACATTGTTTTAGGCAATAAAATCCCTGACATTGACACAAGTGGCACACTTGGAAACAGTTAGAGTTCCTGTAGATCATAATATGCAACAAGCGCAAGATCTTCTGTAATACACATGCAATATGCATATAAATAGACTTTAGATGGCAGGCAGGGTATCATACAATTTTGCTGGCAATAAATAAAATTAAAAGCTTTTTTCCTAGCAAGTTCATATATGAAATTGATTTTTCTATATAGATATGCAGGAGGCCTAGAGCTCAAAACTAGTATAACAGTTTACAGTCATAGCTGGCCAACAATTAATATTTCCTTCATTTTACATAAGGTATAACCTTTTTACAAGCATACTTACATTTTACACTTGTTCTTTCATGCTAATAAAAACATTCCTATAGAATTCAAACAAGAACACACTCAAATACATACTGAAGCATAAAATATTGAACAATTGAAAAGCAATGTACACACATTCATTTACATCACATATTTACAAAACACATTTAAAAAGAAACAAGAGCATTCATTTAAATACGAGGGAGGTGGCAGTTTAGTATAAAAAAATTCCTGGAAGAGGCTTCTGTCCTTACTTCCAGAGAAGCTACAAGTCTGTTTCCTACAGTCTATTTAGTTGAATGGTTAAGACAGAGAATATGAAGAGTGAAGGCTTGAACAGTAGTCTCATGCTGTAAACATCTGAGTGGTAGCTGCTGGCTTTTCTTTCAGAACAAAATGCATGGTACATACAATAATTTCTCATCTCAAATATGCATCATCAAATGGTCAAAAAACTCTAATTCTAAACTGCTGTTTGTTGGGTTTGTTTTGGTTTGGTTTACAGTGTCTATTAGTAGCTTCCAGTGTTAAAAGTTTATTCTGGTAAGGTAGCTTGTCATTCCACTTCCATCAATAGTCTCTAACAGGAGCAAGTTCTGGTATGAGATTAACAGTTATATTTTTATACAATCTACTGACAAGTATTTTAGGAGTATATACTAAATTGTTCAATCCATCAATATACTGACGTTCTCTGGAATACCTCAGAAGTTTATATCTGCAGAGGGAGTTGGAAGAAGAAAATATGAGAAAGATTTGCAAGAAACAATTTAATTATGTCAGACACGACACTGTGACAGTCATTTCATTTTGAAATACATCTTCAGTTCTCAAACTACCTTTCTGCCCTTTGAAATTACCAAATTACCTACCTAAGCTTTGAAAGTAAGATTTTAAAGATTTTTAATACATTTAGATTTTACGGTCACATACACAAGTCAATATTAAGACTAAATAACAAAGCAGGCATTTAATATGTATACTTTTTATGGTCCCAAACTAAGCAGATTTTTAAACATTATTCAATTTCTTCATGCTGTTTTGTAATAAAACTCAACTGGGGAGCTCAGGGAAATATTTAGAAACCTTCACTGGTCATCATTACACATTTAAATGCCTAAATTGTTTTTCATTTCATTCTTAAGACTCCCGCATTTGCAAACATCTAAATTTGAAGTGATTAAAAAAACTGGTTCCCCTCCACCAAATTACCAATTTATACATTTTAGTTTCATATAACAGATTTACTCATGTCTACTGTACATGTCTATTTTAAAATTATGAATAAAACAGAAAAAAGATGTTCCCAGAAAGAGAAACCCACTGAAAACAGAATTGAGCAGTAATTCTAATTACCTGAGAACACACATCATAAACCCTCTATTTTGTGTTTCACATTCTAATTTTTACATTTAGCTCATCTGCTGCATTCTGGTTGCTATTCCAGTCTAGGGTAGCCAGAACCTACTGGCCACCTAAAGTGTTTTGCATGTTTGTGGCAAAAGAAAGGAATCCCAAAAGGAAAATTTATGTCAACGTATGCAGGAAATGAGAAGACCCACATCTCAGAAAATAATGAAAGGTGATGGAAGAAACCTATCCTTGAGGAGTTTTAAAGTCTGTTTTCATGCAGGAGTCGCTTGCCCTAGCTGTACTCTTTCCTTTTGAAAAATATCCAAATTAACCAACTGATGGAGCCCTGCCAGCACTAATGCCCAAACTATTATGAACAATAACATTCTGCATCAAAGATTAGGATGATAATATCTTCTGACACATAAAGCCAGTCTCTCTCACGGTTAAATAAGAAATATCTGAACAGCAAACATAACGTGTTTAAGACAGTATACAGTTTAGCACCAAATAACACTGATAAGCACTGACTGCTTATTCATATGCGTGGATATAAGAAAAAAATTTACATGTTTAGAGGTAGTATTTGAACATTTCTCTGTTATTCTTACCGTCCTAAAAACTGGACTTCACCTCTGTGATGATGAGGAATGGATTTGTACTTCCCTAAATCTCCCTCTGGTCTTGTTACATTGTATCCAGCATAGTGAACCCTGCGGTATAATACATTAACATTTGTAAAAACATCTTCTTAAAACTCTTCATACAAGTTATAGCAAAAGTGAAAAATATGCATCAACTATTTTAGAGTCAAGTCTTTGCATTCAGTGACATTCTCATCCTAAAAAACTCATAATACTCCTAAACCAACAGCTAAAAAAGCTGGCAAAACAAAGCACAAAATAATAATAATAATAATAATAACAACAATAACAACAACAACGACAATTTCATATTTGGTATTTCCTGCTTGTTCTTAAAGCTCAACAGCATAAAACCATTAAAACTGCAAGAAAAAAAGAATAAAAACAAATCTGCCCTTTAAAAGATACCTCTTTATCTATAAACTCATGGAGACACTTCATTTCAACAGATCAATTTGAACATTTTAGATATATTTACTGGGAGCAGTTCGCTGTCCATGAGCATTGCTGTCCATTGTCCAATCTGGGACTATCAATATATTCACAAATTAACCTCTCTCTCAAACACTGCTCCTAAGGCAGGAAACTCATCTACATGTCTCTGGGACGGTATTCCATAATGCTAGCAGCAAGGAAGATGTAAATTAAAGGCAACACACAGAAGACTAGAAGGAATGGGATTAAATATGCTTAGTGTTGTTAACTGTTGTTATATCTATTACAAGACCCATCTCTTAAAAACCTGCTAACTGTCCCCAGGCCAAGAAAAAGAACATCACACTTATGCCTTCAAATGGTGTAGTCTGATATTTCTGAAGCATACTCTTTAGAATTAGAATTTACTCATTTAAAACAAATTACAAAAAGGTAGCAAGTGACAGAAAAAAAGCACCTAATTGGTCTCAAAGGGTGGATACTACAGAACAGTCAGAAAGACCTAAGCGTTGAACACTCACCTGTTCCAAAGATCATCATCCTCTCCACCCCACCCCCAAAAGGCATTTGGAAAACCATTGATCTTCTTGAATTGCTCCACTGTCAGCCCACTTACACCACCGAAGAACTCATTGTATGGAAGGCTGAAAACAAAAGACAAATTCTATATTATTAGCTGAACTTTGATAGGTAGCCCTGTCTTTGAACAATACCTTTCCAAAAAAACAAAAACTCCAAACTAAGGACATGAACAGATGCTGAATGTATTCACTATGGGACACTAGTTGCTGGAAATTGTTGGCATTAAGTAACATACACCAAGTTGAACAAAAGGTTTCCAGTAAAGTCTGATTTGCATAAAAGGTGCTCTTACACTTTAGTATCACCAGATGAAACAAAAATCTATCCGTATTTCAGATGGCTCATTTAGACTCATAGCTGAAGTGTTAAGCGAAGCCCTGAAACTATTTGCATTTTGACACTATTCAACTCAACCCCCCCCCTTAATCAACTGAAAAATTACACATCAGTAATGCATCCATTAAATAATTTTAATTCATCACTATATTCTACAGAACTGTTAAAACTTGAAACAATTTAACAGTACATATTCAACTACAGTGAATGACATACTTATTTAAAAACTTTTTCCAGTTTTTAGAAGATAAAGTTTTAAATCAAAGGGATCTGCAGGCTTTTCTGTAAGCAACAGTAACTGCTACCATATATTATTAAGTAATAAGCAGTTGGCCAACATGAACAGCCACTGTACCTATTAACATACTAAGCCCCAGCCAATGTGATTTCCAGTCCTCAAAACACTTTGTCAATCTAAAAAAAAAAATAGAATATTTAAGTATCTATATTTACTACCATCAATATTGACTTGCATCCTTAACCCAGAAGCTGTTACAGTAAAGTGTGTTCCTCTTTCACAAGCAGCACGCCGCTTCATAAAATAAAAGTCTCTCAGGACATGCTTCCAAATCTGGAACTTTCAAGGAGTTAAGACTATCTACAAAAAGATTTACCATTGCTTAGGACACAATTGCCACACTGAAGGACAAATAACTCCAGAATGCAAGGGGGAAGAAAAAGAAATAGAGTCATGTAGCTTCTGATCTCTGTGGTAACACAGGATTGAACCAAATCTTAATAACTTTTGGGGAAGGTTGCTATTATAATCTCTTTCAACATTTAACTGAAATAAAAGGTGTTCTAACCCACCCCTCAGAAAAAACCCCCTACACATACCTCCAAAACAACCAACAAAAAAGCACCATCAACCCAAAACCAGAACCAACTGGAGTATGACAGTTAATGGCACTGTTTGAGGTTTTTATTCATATGTATGTATGTGTGTGCAGTACACATGCACTTTTTTTGTATATATACATAAACATATTTATTTTTGCATTTTAGAAATCTGGATTTATTTATACATTTATCAATTTTGTAAATACCTATTTAGACATTTTATAAATGTATACATAAATATATAAGGTGTTTTGTAAACACATATAAAGATAGATGACATCTCTTCTATATTTATATATGTTAATTTATATATTTTTAAATACATATGAAATCTTTAAACATTTGACTGCTGATTGGCTGACAGGCTCAAGTCCACAGACAGAGCTGTGGTTTCAATGCACTGGTTTTCATCTGTTAGTTGACCAGGTTGTCAACTCGATTAACTTCACCAATAAAGTTCAGGATAGCAAATACATGCATGTAGCAAGCAATAAGCTACAGCTTTATGTGAAGTGATTCAAAGAATGTCATGAGATAGCAAAATGTTAAAAAGCAAGTGACACATCATTAATGTAAAATGGTAGAAGGAAAGGAAGTAACAAAACTGCAGGTCCCATTACATTCATCGAATGTCAACAGAGACAATACAATAAACATAATGGTCTAGCAGTAAGAAAATCTCCTGCTTAAAAAGCAGTACGAAGCAGAAATAAATACCAGTTATGAGAAAATTAAGAAAGACCTTTTTCCTGTGGTATTTTGATGCAGATTATCTGCTTGTCTTTTGTAAAAGCCAGCACAAGGGCTTATATAGCCAGAAAAGATTTCTAGTAAGTTAGGTAAGCTTCTCCCCCTTGACACACAAACCTTTTCTTTTTTTTTTTAAGATCAACCTCACTGCAAAAAGTTCAACACCAGAAATTATAAATAATGCCTTCTAATTAGTAATATATCAAATGTAGACATTAAACTTAAATCTTCCTTTTAATAACTAAATATTAATTTCTGTAAACAGCATGGTAGGAGGATGTTTTATTGTTTTCTCCTCCTGCACTTATTGTCCCAAAATTCATACCTGTCTTAAAAATATTTCTGCGTATTTAAGAAACAGCATGAATAAAGCGTTACATACATGTACATGTATTTGTCCAGCTTTGCTGCAAAATGGCGTGGCATTTCTCCACATCCATAATAATTTCTGTCATTTTCAGGTAAGTGATCCACGTCATGAAATATTATGCAGTCCCAGACAGCATCCTTCATAGCCTCTTTGAAGCCAACATTAAAGAGCATTGCACGATTAAAAGGTTGTGTACCTGTCTTCAAACAGAAAACAAAGGAGATATTGTAAAAATCAAGAAGGGACAAAATTTCAATACTATGAGAAATACATATTCTAACCAACCCCCCTCCCCCAACACACACACACACAGAAGTATTAACAAAGATGCCTCTTTTGACCAGCTGGTTATGCTGGGTTTGATGCACCCCAGAATGGGGTTTGCCCTCCTGGCACACACTGCTGGCTCATGCTGAACCTCCTGCCAAACAACACCCCCCTACGTCTCTAAGCAGGGCTGCTCTCCAGTCACTCCTCTCCCAGTTTAAACTTGTGCCTGGCTTTACTTTGTCCTAGGTGCAGAATCCAGCATTTTGCCTTTTTAAATTTCATCCCATTAATCAGTGACCAATGCTCCAATTTATCTAGATCCCCCTGCATCCCATCCCTCAAAAGTCAACAGTACCTCTCAGTTTCATATCATCACCAAACTTGCTAATGGTGCGCTCAGCTCCTGCATCCACTGAACAGAACTGACCCTGGAATTGAGCCCTGAGGAACACTGCTAGAGACCTATTTTTTTTCCCCTTGAAAACTTCCAGTGACAACACATTCTAAGAGGCCATGTTACCTCTATAACATATCAGCCCGTATTTGAAGAAAAGCACAATATATCTGGCCACTGCTTAAACTGGGGAATGGAGATGAACTTTCCTTTTTCATTTAAGGGAGTAGAACAGTTGAGTAACAATTTCTAAATTCGAGATTCATCCAACTCTTGGTAAGAATATCAAATCCCTTTCAATAAGGGATCTTGAGAAATCACTTTTCAAGTAAATGCTGTTACCTGTTCAACAACATAGAAGGCAAATTCCAGACGTTGTTTCTGCAACATAGGTATCAGATGACGGAAAAAAATTGGAAGATGCTCATGGCGATTCCGAAAAGGAATAAGGATTGCCACCTTAAAAAATTACATATATATATATATACATATACATATAAAGCTATTGTATCAGCATTTTAAAATTTTAATATTTCAATACAGATCAAGTTTCCCGTGGCTTACCTAGGCTTTTCAACTTTCACATTTAAATTGGCTGGGTGTTTTACACTTTGGTTTCCGCTAGGAAAGCGTGTTGGAAATTTGCTCAAACAATTAAGAAAAAAATCTGAATAAAGTATAAATAAGATTTTCCTTTTATGTTACCTTTCTTCTAGTTATACTTCAAGCAACAGACACATAGGACAGGTTTGCCTCCATGTGATGAAATGTTTAGTAACCACAGTTAACGAGCCTTTAGAAGTCCCTGATAATCCATTTCAAATTTTTCTGAGTTATAGTTTCTTCTAGAGCACAGATGGCATAATACTTATACTATAACATAGTATATAATTTATTTATTTATATACATAAATAAATAAATATATGTCAGCAAAAGACTAAGTGCTTGCAATGGTAAACTGTTCTCATGTACCAAGAAGAAAAAATAAAACAAAACCGAAAATAAGCATCTCACCTTCCACCGTGGCTTACAGTCTTTTGGTTTCCAGTGCCCCCCTGGTTCAATGTCTAAATCTTTTGAAAAGAGTTGTTGAATTTCATCAAAACTAATTTCACTCATATTGACATCAATAAGGCCTCCTAAAGAGAGGACAAAAACCCTATTATTTATTCATTTCAATTAAGACAACTGATGTAACACTACATGTTACACCATAGACAAATGGCATCAGAAATTTGTAGTTACACTGCCTACGTATTACACTGGAGGACGATTTATACTCTCCTCCTAATATTCAATTTTTACAGAATGAATTTTTCAGTGTTTCCCAGTAAAAACAGTCCTTCCATAAGACCTATAAACAAAATACTCTTATCAGAGGACACAGAACAAGCAAAGTAATTTGAATTCTGTACCTATTACAGAAAATTAGGGTCACCTTTCATTTCAAGTACCACTCTGAACAATTCTACATTATCTGCACTACCGAACCTTTACTCAAATTCTCTGTGCCTTCCTACTGCACTTCCACATTAAAAGAAAATGCATCATCACTACACTAAACAAACTTCCTCCATTTAAATTCTAGATGATTATGCACATTTCATGTATAATCTTCATCCACTAACTCACCACTGTCTTCATCAAACCAATTCATAGCAGCTGACTAGATTTGAAAATTACCACCACTAGAACTAGTGAGCCTAATGGGAAAAGCATTCACAAAAGGCTATTGATGAGAGTGGAATTCAGTAAGTTATTGAATAAAGACCACAATATGGTTTTAAAAAAATCAGGTTAGTCCTTATTATGAGAAAGTACGAACACTTAGTTACTTGATAGCTAAAAGTTGTCAATCATTAGCTTATGTATGTGCAAAAATTTCAAAACCAGAAATAATGACTTACAGTAAATACCCTCAAAAGCAGTAGAAGGAATCGAGAAAATCTGGGGAGAAGAGTAGTGTAACACTTATTAACCAGAAACTCAAGTTGTTCTTCAGCAACTACTATGCTCTAGATCATCAAACAAAAATCTTGCAATAACTATCTGACAAAACACTATAAAATATCCTACTTATTTTTGTCTAAAAATTTAAATATTTTGGTGAGGGTTGGTGTTTCAAAGTCAGTCAAAGAAATCACTCCCATTTTCTCCCCTGTGCCCATACCAAAAAGATCCTATTTGTGTCAAAAGATTGCTTCGTGTCACTGAATTGACTAGTTATCTAAATCTTTTTGAAAAACGGAAATTTTTGGAACATACTAGGAATAACTATGGTTTTCAGAAGAAGGCAGAAGATACTGCAAGTTTTGGATATGATTAAATATAGTACTTCTTGTAAATGAAGAAGGTAACTTTTTAAAGTAAAATTATAGGGGGGAAAGTATCAAGAACAGTATAAAATGGAAATCTTTCAAGTGCAGATTTAAAGAAACCCACATTTATATAATTACTTTAGAAGAAAAAGTTAACCTGGCACTCACTATAAAAACATGTATAAATATATAACAGAACAAGTTAATCCTACAGAGATTTACATAAAAGTTTGAAAAGAATTAAAAATAATCATTAAAAAAAAAGCTTGGATAATAATTTTTGTTGTGTCTGAAACACTTCAATAACCTGAAAAAGAAATCTTACAAAATGTAGAATCAAGGTCAATCAACGAAGTAAATGAAAAAAATAAAAATCACTAAATCAATTTCAACTACCAAGAGATAGAGAAGCAAAAAGAGCCTTTCAGTTTATGTACAGAATCTAATAGGAAAAGAAAGATAAACAAAAGTCAATTACTACACCAGAAAAGGAAGACAATGACATACAATATGATGTGACTCAGATGGCTTAGTCTCCTGAGAAAAGTTTAGATGTGATCTAGCTGCTTACAGAGTTTAAATTTAAAATTAAAAAAAAAAAAAAATCAAATGGTAAAACAGCATTTAGATAAGGGAGGTGCTTCTAACTTCATGCAACATGAAGGAATTCCTTCTAGACTGTTTAAAAAGTAGCTATAGTAAAACCTGAAGTATTTGTACTAACTATCAAAAGTACACAGAAGGTGGGTGAATAGAATTCAGCACTTTTTCCCTGTCCTTGGTGGAGGCAGGAGAAGGCACCTCTGTAAGTATCTGGGCTTAGTATTCACTACTTCCATTAGTGTCTAGCAAGCTGCAATAAGATATATTTATACAACCCACAAAAAAAGAAAGCTGAGGAAGCAAAAAGCATTTTGAAGAAGAGAATCAGAAAGCAAAATGATTTCAACAAATCAGATACATACAGAAATCAATAGAGTGAAATTAATTTAAAAAAAAAAAAGAGTATGGATTGTTACCGAAAGAGAAATGAAGCATACAGAGACAAAACAAGAAATACCTGGCTATGCTGCAGTATCTAGAAAGATATTTTTACAGTTTATAATGCATTTCCTATTAATATGAGCTAATGCAATAAAATGCAATTGTACAAAAATAGCAAATCTCACCCTGGAATATGTTAACTGCTGTTATATGAAAGACAGAGAAGGTAATTACTACTTTCTTTTGTAACCAGGGTTTTACCCAGTTACAATGCTTTAAAAAGAAATCAAATTAGAAATAGTCTACAGTACAAAAAAATGAAGATGACAAGAGCTTTAGAAACTATGTAGTCTACAAAGGTTTCAATTATCAGTTTATCTACAAAGGAAGACAGACAGACTCTTGTACTGCTTCTATCTTGAAGTAGAGGTGTCTTGCTCATGAATTACAACAGCAGTGCTCAACCAGTGGGTTATAACCTGAAAGACTGAGTCACACACAAAATGCAATAGTTGTTCCTATCTTAAGAGCATATGTACTTGGGACAAAACATGATTTTACCATACTCCTTTCATGATATAAATTTGGGAAATTGATGTAAAGAAGAGAAGTTGACTTCTATAATAATCTTAGACTATTAAGCATGTCAAAATATACATGATCCAAGAATCCTTCTGCCCTGGCTATCTCAGGACTACCTACAACATTTCATTGCATTAAATGGTCTTCAGAGAAGACTGAGTTAAATTATAATTAAACACAAAGATGATGATTAAAAAGGTATACGCGAAAACCAAAGGGTGAAACATATATCCCTTTGTTGAACAGCAACTTATCCAGTGAATTACTGTCTATTAAAATTATTATTTCTCTATTAAATTAAACATGAAAGAGTAAGTACAAAGCAATTACTGACAAAAAAAAAAAAAAAGAAAAGATGGTAAAGAGAGAGCAGCAACAAGGAGACCTATAGAGAAATTCTAGTAGAATTATATATGGCAAACATGGCTGATAGCAACAATGGCAGAGCACAATGCTTCCCTACTCTGACAATTCTGAACACCTGGCAATTTAAAACAAACTGCCTCAAAGATTTAAGATAACACACCGTAAGTAAGCTGAGCTGTAAGGCACCTAAGTACCTTCTGACTTGCCTCATTCCTCCACTCCTGGACAACAGACTAACGCACAAGTAGAACCACTAGTTTTGAACTAATCTCATAGAATTCCAACTGCTTAATCCCTTGAAAGTGCCATTAAAAATACTAACTTATATGCATTTGTCAATTATTTGTTTATATGTAAAATATTATATAAAAATGTGATATTGAAAATCAAACCCCACGTCTGGAGGGAAACAGGCTGAAATAAGGATATTATCACACCGTGGGGCTAATTACTATGTGGCTTAAGACAGTTTACTATATGATTTTGTTTCATAAGAAACAGTAACTGATCTATACTTTTGGCTCCATGTCTGTATATTTAAAATGTTAAGAGACAAAGTTTAGAATCTGGCAGTATTGAAAAGACACACAGACAACATACACTGTTTCTGTATTCTTCAACAGATAAACTTCTCAGTCAAGATAAAAAAAAATTATCAGGGAAACTACATTATCCTAATAAAATCCACTATTTTTCTTTGAAGAAATAAGTCAATTCCATTTGGCTGTCAGCAACATTGTTGGTATGATATGGATCTGAACTGCTATATTAAATACTTAATTACTTGTTCATGCTGAATGACAACCCACAGATTAGGACAGCTGTTAGTCTAAGAGTTTAGAATTCTGGAATGCATCACAAATAGCTTCAGAAACTATTTGAAATTTACTCTCTTACAGATCGGTAGTTTAATTATTTGATTTTAGATACTGCAAGTAAAATAAACACATTAGTGTAACAGATACTGCCGGTTAGTAACAAACTCACTTCTAGTAACATATTTACACTTATTTCCAGAGAGTTGTTGATTCTTCTTCTCTAGCTGGTACATTCTGACACCAAATTAGACAGTTCTATTTAAGTAATTATCTTAGAGAGATTTACTAATGCTACCATTAGTTCTTCACTCAAAAGTACTGTCTGTCTACAAAACATTTACCAGAACTGAAGTAATTCAATGGATTACTGACTCAAGTTCTGATTTCTTCCAAATGCAGAGGCCAAAAAAAATATTTAATTGTCCTTTGCTTCCTACAGCAACTCCGATAATCTAACAACAGTTCCTAACAGAGAAAGAAGCTGAAAACTCAGTAGTGGTTTCTATGGAGGAAGTTTGTTTCAGTCAAGGGACTGCAATTTCATTGAGGTTAAATATCAGAACAATTTATAATAGCAAACTATCAATGGTGAAGGTCAATGTAAAGCAGTCAGCACCTGAACTGATTTGCCTCTTTCTTTTTAGTGTTTTAAGCAGGTCAGTATTTAACAGCTGTTAGGTACCTACCTAACCCTTCCTGGTTTTTAAGGATTGCTTTCTCTACAAGCTGGAGGAGAGCAATGTCCATAATTTTGTCTGAACCTGAACAATGGCAAGTTTGCAGGAAAGGGGAATTCACATGACAGCTTACAGTTTTTAACAAGAACTTTTAAGAATATTCCCAAACAAAGCTATACTTTTTTATAGCAAAGGAAGGACTCCTCTCTCTGAGCAGCAGAAGAAACAACCTGGATGAACTTACAGTAATCCTCATTCCCTGTCTCCCTATGCTGCTGGGGGAGAGGAGGTAGAACCTGAGAAGGAGGGAGGGGTGGAAAAGGTGTTTTTAAGATTTATTTCACTTCTCATTATCCCGCTCTGATTTTGTTAGTAATAAATTTAATTAATATCCCTATTTCAAGTCTGTTTTGCCCATGACAGTAATCAGTCAGTGATCTCCCCGTCCTTATCTCAACTCATTAATCCTTAGTTATAGTTTCTCTTTTCTGTCCAATTGGAGAGGGGAGAGATAAAGTGGCTGTGGTGGGTACCTGGCATCAAGCTAGGGTCACCCACTAAACCTGTTTAATAGCTTGGGATCTTAAACATCTGCATTTGAAAGTCTTATTTTAAAATTTCCTGAGGATCACAACTTTTCATTTGTTTTGTAAGTACTAATCCCTCATGGCAGGGCTTTGGCATTTTCTTACCTCTATCAATCCTCACTTCACTACACCATCCTGTTCAGTTTCCTACATATTGGTCTAATTGTGATTACCTGATAAAGATTTGAGAATTGGTTTCTGACTCAGGAATCTTTCTATTAGGAATACCATTTCAAAAAAGCAAATTTTTAACTATTCCTCAATATATGCAACTGTGAATAAGTACTTAATATGAAGTTCAAGTATTCTTACATATTAATAAAAACATTTATTTTTTAATTTGTAGAAACTAAAATTATTTATAAATAAAATTTAAAACACATTAGCTGTCACACTAGGCACATGATGTGACTCTTGAAGATGGTCCTGTGCAGGGCTGAGTTGGACCAATGATCTTTGTGGGTCCCTTCCAACTTGGGATACTCTGTGATTCTATGATTAGTAAAGAGGTCAAAAGTAACACATTAGTTACAAGCAAACTTCTGATAAGCATCATTGTCCATTATCAGATGCATTTTATTCATTATTTTCTGCTATATACTTGGACTCCTTGCAATTATGTTTTCTATTAAAATAACTGTATTTTGTATAAAGTACCATTCGATTTACTAGATAAACACCAAGGTCAGTTTAAAACTTACTCATATAAGGCAGCTTCTCCGGACAAGCCTGGAAAGGAGAGTAGGTGAAGTTCTCTGGAAGATACATTGTTGTTTGAGCAAGGCAGTCACTAGAATTGTTTCCTTCAGGATAATCTTAAAAAGAAGAGTTGATTTTCGTAAAAACCTATGTTATCCACTGAATTTGTAACACCATCATGCAGGTGAGAGCATTAACTTTGTAAGCAGCAAATTCATAGCAGCATGATTAAAAAAGCATTTTACTGCACTAAAGGAAGAATAACTAAATGATGGTATCTTTGTTACAGCTGTGACAAGTATTTCTTTCAAAATTACACTGATAAAGAGTAACTATTTGACCTTCACTCCAGTTACAGAGAAGTAGGGCTTAGGTTCAAATTTTCCTAATCAAGCTATGTCATTACTGTTTGGCTTTTTTTAAAAAAGTTCATTTAAAAATGAAATTAAATAAGAAATATTCTTACCTGTCCCATTCAGTGTAGTATTTTTGTTAGTGTACAATCTGATCATGTGTCCTATTGTTTTTACATTTTCTCTCAACATTATACCACGAGCTTGCACCATAAAGAGATACGTGTTTGCTGATAAAAAAAAAAGCAATTTTGAATTTGAATTAAAATAAAGTATTTCCAAATTATTCTAACATACATTTATAATGTGTTCAACATTGGTTACTATGCCTGAATACATGGTTAGTGAACATTAATTCTTCAACATGAAGGTCCACAGAGTGAAACCTAACAGTAACAACACACAAGAATAAAATGGATTCATAACCACATTTCCGTATAAAGCCCAAAACTATAAAATGTCAAGACACTTGATATGACACTTTCATCTTTTTAACTTACAAAAAACAACTGAGAATGACAAGAAACAATTTAATTTACCAATAAAAAAGTTTTCATATGTAGATATATCCCTCATATATACATCTTCACATCTATCATTGAAATACAGGACCAAAAAAAAGTCTAGATAATCTTTTAGTCCAATATAATGGACTTTTTTAGTCATTAGTTAACACAACTTTCAGCCAAAATGTGCTGCTACTCATTCACCCCCAACAGCTGTTCTGTTATACAACTGCTACAAATCACTGCCAATCTCAAAGTATTAATGTTTGGTAATTACACATGAAATATTTATTATTGACATCAAGGGTGAGTAAATCAACATTCTGAGTAATTAAATGACTCACTACCAACAACAGCATGAAATATTCCTCTGTATCAGCCATGCACCCAAAGCCCAAATCTGATCTCAAGACACTTCCTTGTCTTAAACAGAAAGAAGTAAGGTAGAAATGAAGCTGCATTTATAACTGAGCAAGCAAATGTCTATCCAGGACTCACAGAGCTCAGAAACTATTGCACAGGGAGGGACGAATTTCCTTTATGGAACAGTTTTTACGCTGGGTAGCAAAGAGGGTCAAAGGGATCATCTGTCACTTCACTTACGTTAAGCTCTCAGTTGTCTGAGGGATACTTGGCTTGCTGTAATTAGTAATCACCCTAACAAAACAAAAAAAAAGTACTCAGAGTCTTTGGAGGAAAGAACTAAACATACCAGAGGGAAAAAAAAAAGTTAGAATATTATCTCAGGAACTCCACTTCATCAGATGACTCAGTACCAGTGGCATGAGAGATCGACTGATAACTTCTTACAGCCCAACACAGAGACCAGAGCTCTAGAGTACTGCATATGAAAGACTCTGACATTTCCAGAGGAAAATATATTGATTAATTCCACCACAGTAGCAAACAATCCTACTGACACCTAAAGAGATACAAACGCCAACATAATCTGTCAAGGAATATTATTTGCAAGCCCTACAATAATAGGGGCTTTTTTTAAAGAATTGAGGGGGGGGTTCTCACTTTCAAAAACTCCTTATCAAAACAAGGAATATTAGTGGCTCTGAATATCCTGGGTGCTATGCATGGTATGTAATTCCATCAAACCTGTTGCCAGCATGACTACCTGTTTTGGTTAACAAGAGTTTACATGTGTATAAAAGTTACTCAGCTGCTAGGATCCTGAAGTTGTCTCAACACTTCCTGGCCACTAAAACAGAAACAAAAGAAAACTACAACCTTAGCCTGACGAGGCTAAGTGGATTTTTGCCATTCAAATAGGACAAAAATTTGCTAATTACCAAAGAATTATTTTCTACAAATTTTAACACATTTCAAATTGGTATCATCCCCCTTCTTTTCCCCATGTATGTTCCCCCTCATAAGTACAGCTCTTCTCTTCTATATTTTCCTATTCCAACACTAAAATAATGTTATTTTTTAATATAAATCACTTAGCAAATACTGATATCAGAGATAACCTCTGGAGATTGTACACTATATTCTGCTTTTTAGCATGATACCAAAAGCCAAAGTCACCTGAGTTTCTATCTCTGCAGAACAGCAGGTTTATAGAAGCATGATCTTAATTCACATATATGAAGTGTGGTGGGTTGATCTGGCTAACAGGTAAGCCCCCGTCCACTTGCTTGCTCACTCCCCTGCAGTGGGACAGGGGAAACAATCAGAAGGGCAAAGGTCTTAGGAACCTGATAAAGTACAGAACTGTGACTAAGCCTTTCAAACAAGTCCAGAACAAAGTCAAGAGGACTATGTAAGCCAGGAGGCTTGCATGGATGAACAAGGGCCTCCTGGAAAAAAATCAAACACAAAAATAGTACAGAGGGTAGAAGCAAGAACAGGTAATGCAGGAGGAATACAGAAACAGTATCTGAGCATCCAGGGATGCAGTTAGGAAAGCTAAAGCTGAAAACCAAATGGAACTGAATCTGGCCAGGGAGGTCAAAGGCAACAAATGGGTTTCTAAAAGTGCATAGGTGACAAGAAGAAAACTAAGGAAAATGTGAACCAGTGCTCAAAGTCTGCAGTAGTGAATGTCACCTTCGTCTTAGTCTTGCTAGCAAGATTAATCTTCAGGAATCCCAAGTCCCAGAGACCAGGCTGGAGCAAGGAAGTTTTACCCTTGCCCTTGGTGGAAGACAATCGGGTCAGGGAACACTTAAGCAAACCAAACACAGGTAAGAACATGGGCCCTGATGGGATGCATCATGTGCTGAGGGAGCTGACAGATGTCATTGCACAGCCACTCTTGACAATCTTTAATCGATCATGGTGAGTGGAAAAAGTGCCCGACGGCTGGAAGAAATCAAATGTTACTCCTATTTTCAAGAAGGAGGGCCCAGGGAAGTACAGGCTGATCAGCTTCCACTTTATCCCTGGGAAGGTGATGAAGCAGCTAAACCTGGAAACCATTCTTCAGATACACGAACAACAAGAAAATTATCGGGAATAGTCAGCATGGCTTCACCAAGGAGAAGTCATGCTCTAGCAACTTAATAACCTTCTATGATGAAATGACTGGCCTGGTAGATAAGGAAAAAGTGGACATTGCCTGCCAGGACCTCAGTAAGGCCTTTCACACTGTATTCCATAAGATCCTCATAGAAAATTGGTTGATGTACAGGCTGGTCAAGCAAACAGCGAGGTAGATCAAAAGCTGACTGACTGACCAAGCCCAAAGGGTGAGGTCAGTGACCAGTGGTGTACCTCAGGGGTCAATATTTGGTTCAGTCTTGTGTAACATCTTCATCAGTGATATGGATGACAGGCAGAGTGTACCCTCAGAAAGTTTATTTATCACACAAAAAAGGGGTAAGTAGCTGATATGCCAGAGGGCCATGCTGTCATCCAGAGCAACCTCAGCAGGCTGGAGAAATGTGCTGACAGGAAATTCATGAAGTTCCACAAGGAGCAGTGCAAATTTCTGCACCTGGGGAGGAAAAACCCTAGGCACCAATATATGCTCAGGGGCACCCAGCTGGAAAGCAGCTTGGCAGAAGAGACCTTGGAGGTCCTGGCGAACACCAAGTAGAACGTGAGCCAGCAATGTGCTGCCAAGGTGGCCAACAGCATCCTGGGATGCATTAGGAAGAATGTTACCAGCAGGACAAGGTGATCCTTCCAGCCTTCACTCAGCACTAGTGAAGGCACACCTGGAGTACTGTGTCCAATTCTGAGCTCCACAGTAGAACAGAGGAGAACTGGAGAGTGTCCAACAATGAGCCATGAAGAAGACAAAGGGACTGAAGCATCTCTCCTATGGTGAATGGCTGCAAGAGCTGGGACTGTTCAGACTGAAAAGAAGGCTTAGGCGGATCATATTAATGGGTGCGTGTGTATGTATACAATGTATATGAAGGGAACGTGCAAAGAGGGACAGAGCCGGGCTCTTTTCAGTAATGCCCAGTGACAGGACCAGAGGCAATGGACACAGACTGAAACACCAGAGGTTCCATTTGAACACCAGGAAACTGTCCTGTACCATGAGGGGGATGGAGCACTGGCACAGCTTGCTCGAAGTAGTTGTGGAGAATATCCACAGAAATATTCTAAAGCTGTCTGGACGTGGTCCTGGCAAATTGGCTCCAGGTGGCCCTGCCTGAGCAGAAAGGCTGGACCAGGTGGCCTCCAGAGGTCCCTTCCAACTCAATTATTCTGTCATTTTGCTTCTACTATTGTCTTCCTGCATCTGTACCAACCATCACTGTCATAGGGCAAGGCCACGCACAAACCAGGAAGGCAAAATTTCACATGTAACCAAAGAAAACATTTAACAATGTAACCACGTAGAACCAGTTTTATTTATATTTTCCTTATTTTACTGTATATGATCTACAGTAAGAAAGAGAATTTCTGACTCAAGAAACATAGAATACAGACACAGTTTACAAGGTAATCGAATGGGCAGTGCAGTGAAAAATGAACAACATACCCACATAGAACACCTTGGAATCAATACCATACTCAATGTTCCACTTAAAGCAACTACAGTGTAAGCATGAGCTCATACCTAATTCAGATGAAATTTTACTATCAATTGATCCAGACCTGTATCAGCAACCATGAGCACACAGCCACACATCAGTCATCAAAAGTCCTGGTTTTAGGTCGTTATTTAAAACTCATTCTGATAAAGCACATCAGGGCATTAAAAGGATCATCCTGTATTTCAGAAGACATATTAAAAATATCAGATGGCTCATTTTTTGTCTTAATTCTTTATAACTCACTAGTTATTAATAGTTTTAACTGTTAGAGTGAAAACAAGACCACTGGGGCAGGGGGTGGCAGCAATGTGTTAATTCTTGAAGTATAAAAATAACTGTTAAAATGGTTCAGTGCTTTACGTCAGGTAGTTTTCTTTCACCCGAAGACTATTTACACAATTTTTTTAAAGAAAAAGGTCTCATTCACAGATCACTCTCTCTCAAGGAATCAAGCTCCTTCCAAGCAGTACACCAAAAATTAAAGCACTTCTCGCAACACTGCATTAGTTTATAAACCCTCAACTTCACAGAAAAAAACACAAGACTCAGTTTTACATAGAAACTTAGCAATTTGTCATGCTGTACACATACACCAAAGCAAAGCCAAAAAAATATGCCACACGCTTAGAAGTAACCAACATAGTAAAGTATACAACAGAACAAGTGAAGCTGAAAATGGATCAACGACTGATGTTCTGAACAACAGCAGGAAGTTAG